CTAATTACCTTAGTTTTCTGGCATCTTACACAGGAGCGTGCCCACTCCCTCACATCTTTATTCATGCCACGCCAGAAAAATCGTTCTGCTATAAGCTTGATGGTTGCACGAACGCCTGGATGAGAAATTTTGTGCAACGTATTGAAGACATTGCGTCGATAATGTTTCGGCACGATTGGGCGATCCCTACCTGTAGATGTGTCACAAAGTAAGGTGCCCTTACCTGTTCCAACCTGTTTGATGCGTTGCGTGAGTGTTGTAGACGATAACTCGTGCTGGAGATCAGTGTCTTCTTTTTGAAGCTGGGCGAGTTTCCGAAGGTCGATTCCTTGGAAACTGTTCAAGGAAGTTATACGAGACAATGCGTCCGCAACTACATTGTTTGCTCCAGAAATGTGTTGAATATCTGAAGTAAACTGTGAAATGTAGTCCAGTTGTCGAGACTCACGAGGTGAGTACTTGTCTGAAGAGGAGCTTAGCGAGAAAGTAAGAGGTTTATGGTCAGTGAAAGGGGTGAATTCACGACCTTCGATATGATGTTGAAAATGCCGTACAGCACAGTACATAGCTAGGAGTTCCCTACCGAATGTGCTGTGCCTCGGTTCGGTGTCTAGCAACCGTCCAGAGAAAAATGCCAAAGGTTGTCAGGAGTTGTTAACCCATTGTTGTAAGACTCCTACGATTGCTGAGTCGGATGCGTCTACCGCGATGCTAGTGGGTGCTTGAGTGTCCTGATGTGCAAGCATTGTTGCTTTAGCGATGAGTTCCTTAATTGTGGAGAATGCTTTTCGTGCGGTGTCGTCCAAATTAATGGATTTCGCATTTCTACGAAGTTGGTCGGTAAGAGGTTTCATGAGTAACGCGCATTTAGGTATGATCGTCGACAGAAACTTACGAGGCCGTTAAACGTTCATAGTTGCTTGATCGTGGTCGGTTCTGGGTAATCCAGAATTGCCGCCACTTTGGTCCTAACGGGTTGAATGCCTTGAGCCTCTATAGTGTGTCCTAGGAAGTTAAATGAGTCGGTTCCGATTTGGCATTTTTGAACGTTTACAGTAATGCCGTGGTTTTGTAGTCGTTCGAAAACAAGATCCAGATGCTTGAGATGTGATTCTCTGTCTGGACTTGCGATTAGGCAGTCATCAACATACCTGTGTACGAAGTTGAGACCTCGGAAAACGTCGTCTATGAATCTTTGGAATGTTTGAGCAGCGTTTCTTAGACCGAAAGGCATTTGCGAAAATTAATAGAGTCCGAAGGGAGTAATGATGGAGGTTTTCGATATGTCGTCTGTGGCCATGGAGATTTGGTTATACGCTTTAACCAAGTCGATTTTCGAAAAGATAGTTGTACCTTTCAAGGTAGCTGTCAAATCGTGAATGTGAGGCAACGGGTAACGATTGGGAATGGTTTTCGCATTCAATCGCCGATAGTCACCAGTTGGACGCCAATCGTTGCTGTCCTTTTTAGGGACCATGTGCGACGGAGATGCATATGGGCTGTTTGACGGTCGTCTGATTCCTAAGTCTATCATGTGACCGAACTCGTTTTTCGCCAACCTTAGCTTTTCGTGGGCTAGTCGTCGGGCTTTAGAGAAAACAGGTGGTCCTGTAGTCGTGATGTGATGTGCAACGTTGCTGGTTACAGTTGCGTTTGTTGTACCCCAGGATACTTATCGAGTAGCGTTTGATAAGGTGGATCTATCGTATGCTTAATTGTGACCGGGGATAATCTGCAACCAGAAAAAGAAGTTACGCAAACGGATAAATTAGTGTTTCCGTTTACCAGCCTCCGTTTGCGCGTACCGATGATTAGATTATGGTGTTGTAGAAGGTCCATACCAATGATTGGCATAAACATCTGCAACAACGAAAATCCAGTGAATGGGTTTACGTAAACCCACGTTAAGGTAAACGTACCTTTTGCCATACGTAGCGATAGGTTTTCCGTTTGCCGCCTTTAAGTTTAGAGCCGATTCGTGAAGCCGGTCGTTGAGATTCACTGGGAAACGCTAACTTCTGCTCCGGTGTCAACGAGGTAGCAAACTCTTGTTGTCACATCTGTGACGTATAACAGACTGCTATGTTCGCCGGCTACGGTTGCCGATAACGCGTGCCAGCTTGGAAGTTTCCCGAGTTGTTTTTCGAGTCAGTCGGTTTTGTGTTTGGAAAATGCAGGGTTTACTGCAATGCCTGGAAGACTTTCCATACTGGTTAGGATACCAGCACCCGTCGGGATTATCCGTCTCTCGTGGTCTAGAGACAGATCGCTTACGTGGAATGCTTCTACGTGGGGTGTGTGATCACTTACAGATGTTACGAAAATTATGATAACGCGTAAGTGTATGACATAACTCGGTTATGTCATTCTGAATCGTTTGAGGCTTTTCTTTGACTGAAAAACTTCGGTAGTAGAAGATTTCGTAATTTCTAAGATACGATCGGCAGATGCAGCCAGCTCATCTAAGGCGTTATTCCGAAACGAGACCAGAACCGCTTGCACCTGTTGCAACATGTCCGTCGCAGAACCATGCTGTAGGTCTATGTTATTAAAGAGTTGGTCTAACCTTTCTCGATCGGTTAGGTCTTCTCGTTTAAGAATGGAACGATTTAAGGTTTCGTACGGGTCAGAAACATCACTAGTAAACATACTAGATGTTACGTACCTGTTGAATCCCCGCGGTAGTGCCTTGACTACTGCGAGAAACTGTGCACGTGTGTCATTCACGCCGTGCTCGTGGAAGTCGGCTTCTGCGTAGTGAAACCAGGCTTCGATATTGTCGGGCCGGAAGGGCATGAGTTGGAGTTAGGAGTCTGTTCGATCATAGGTGAAAATTAAGTACGAGAATATTAGGGAAAAATATATAGATATCCTGAGACACGGGGAAAAATATCACAATGTATAAAAAATTAAAATAAAGCAATGACATTTACGATCCCAAAATGGGACAGACTCACAGTTTACGATTTGCTGTACCAGATCACGTCGGTCTCACCAATGAAGATGGCACAGGTATTCAGTGTTTGGCAACGCTTTTACCAGCAACACCTTCTATTATAACTCGTACTCATCAAGAGAAATCAAAAGACAGAGTCGAGGAGATCAGAAGTTGTATTCGACGATTGCCAATATATCGGAATTTTCTGATCTAGTCTAGCTAGCGATTGGGGTAGATGTTGAGCACGGCGTTCCCACACGTGATCTGGTACGGATGCATGAACGAGTACCAACAGCTAGGTAAGTCTGTAGCGTGGCATCGAGTTTAGGTTAACTATGAACACCGCTACAAAGAAACACGTGTCAAGCGAATCAGAAGGCGAGGGTTGGACGTAACCAAATAGATCCATAAAATCTCCGAGAAGCCAAATATCAGAAGACAGTTAATGGACCAAGTCGAGGTTTATTAGCTGGCGATCTCGTGGCATCGAAAGGATACCGAGATCGTGCCAGGATACAAGCTTGGTTACAGAACGTAACTGAATTCGCGCGAAGTTACATTCGAAGTGTAAGTAAAAGAATGGAAGCACAAAATAGCTGTCATTAGCACAGTCAAACAAAAGCACGTTAAAACAAACACTGGTACAGTTGGTTATAATAATAATTGTTTTTATTAAACCAATCGTGTTCTCGTGATAAACGTGAGTCACTACAAGTTCACTAAAACTAATCTGGTCAGCATCCAATGTCGAAAACTTACAGAGCTATTCATTTTGGGGATTTATTTACCGCTACAATGTCCTCATATCCAGTGTTGTCCGTTCCAACTCTGGCATTTAAATCTACCATCAGAATGGTCAGGTGCTTTGTTAGGCACTTCTCGATGATTGACTGCAGCCTATTGTAGAATTGATCTTTGGCGTCTTCATTGTAGTCGTTGGTAGGCGCGTAACATTGGATGATGTTTATTGAAATCCCCTCTTTCTTTCTTTTAAAGGAGGCTTTGATGATCCTTGGCCTATGAGATTCCCATCCTATAAGTGCCTTTTGTGCTTGTTTGGACAGCATCAATGCAAATCCTTGTGTATGTAGGGCATTTTCTTCTTCATGGCCGGAGTATAACAGAAGCTTTCCTGAATCTAGTCGTTGTTGTCCAACTTGGGTCCAATGTGTTTCACTGATCCAAAGCACCTCCAGGTTGTATCTACTCATTTCTGCAGCAATTTGGAAGGCTCTCCTGTTGTCCCACATTGTACGAACATTCCATGTACCTAAATAAATGGTTGCTCTGGTTGTCAGAAGAGGCATCGGCCTCTTAACTTGAGAAGGAACTCGGCTTTCATCATGAGGCGTCATAGTTCTTCTAAATGAAGACCTTCTGACTCCCAGAGCAGAGTTTAAAAGGTTTGAATAATTTTTTCTGTTTAGCGTTTCTTTAGCGAGTAAGTTTTCTACGGGATGAGGTCGCTAACCCCGTGCCCAACCCTCCTCCTTTATCCGGGCTTGGGACCGGCAGTAGCCCCCAGAGGGACTCCAGGCGGAGTTCTACAACAGCAATACGCTGGTTTGTATCCGGTGATGAATAGCTCAATCAGTTTGAGAGCTCAACTTCATCTCAAATTACTAAATGCTTTCCCATTAGAATGTAGACTTCTCAAAAGTGCCCTTCCAGTGTGTTGCAGCCACCTAAACACTCCTGAGCACTATTAAATGCATAATTAAGCACAGTCCTAACACAAAACTAAGAGGCAACACCCAGAAATTCGAATCACATAATAGCAGAATGGATTGTAGGTACACCTTTTTTTCCTTATGAGTATTCACATTCTGAAATCCGCTGCCGGCTAAGGTGGTCCAAGCGACTTCCCAGGTGTCTTTAGGTGGAAATTTCACATATTTTTGAGAACTCAAGACTAAATTCGATTTCAACATAATTTACAAATATTCCTCTCTTTATCGTTATATATGTGCGTAAGTTCTACCTGGAGACATCGGTGATCTACTGCTACTAGATATCGAAGCCCGTCATTTCAAGGCTTCTCCTATTCCGCTCAGAACCATTCGGAAGTCAGAGAGCGTTCTTTAAGAGTCGCGCTACTTGGATGCTAGTCACACTTCGAAAGCCTGTATTCCTGTTTCTGTGGCATTTTGCGTTCTTTATTTCTATCAACAGGGTAAAATTACGATATTATTAATTATGTACACCTTTAACTGATAAAAGCTGTAAATAAATGTTCTGTTCGCTGTCATAAAATGAAAACGATTGTGGAAGTAAAAACACTGCAAATAATTACCACTCACAACGAAGATTGTATCAAAGTGCGTAATCGTAGAAAGTTATCGCACAGTGAGAGAAACGGAGTGACCCGGAGTTTCTTTGACCGCGAATTTTAAGCTTCGGGCTACCAATATCAACAATCCCTTTGGGAAATTTCGGATAAATTCTGGAAAGAATCCCATACCTGAGTAAATCTAAGGCTACATTTTTACAAAAAATTCTCAATGGGACTGCCCTCGAACTTATCCTTGATCACTAAGTTAGGATTAGAGCTTGAAAATTAAAATGACCATTCGACATACATGTTTTAGTCTGTCAATTCGCCTGCTAGACTTAACAAATCTTAGTCAGAGATAAAGCATATAGTTCTCGTGGTCAGATCGTGAGTCCCATGCTCCTGGAAACCAGTACATAATATACTTGTTTTCTCCATATTAACAATAGTTCTATGGAAATTAATGAACTAAATCTAAGGAGTAATATAAATACACAAGTTAGCGATTAGCAGCTTCCTAACTGAACATTAATGTAGGATCGTCAAAATCATTCTGTGAACATTAAGAGTTGAAACATTTAGTGTTTTCAGTATTTCGGGAATGCTAGATTAAGTATTGTACCAAAGAACATTAGTAGAGAGGTCATTTTTAAATTTAGAATTATCGTTTCTCGATTCCCCTTAATCCAGTTTATAGTTCGATTGGACTAGTTTATTTGCACTATACTAATGTTACGCAAACCTTTGCTGAAATAGTGAATGGTACTTTCCTTGGAGAAAATATGCTAAACGTAAGTGTACGATATAGTGTTAACTGAATCCACTTCCAGTTGTCTCTTTGGATTCAGTTGAATAGTAAGACTAAAGGGCTATGTTTTATTGTTATTATTTGATTTTATTTCTTCAGTTTTATCACTGCACTATCACACCATATTCTATCAATTCTTTTCGTGGACAGTAGTTAAAGAGCACTTGTATTCGTAAATGACATGCAGATAATGTCAGTGTAAAGCAAAAACTAGGAATTTCTTGAGGATTTTAGGTCTCGGTAGTTTTATGTGCCTACTTTTCATGGCTTCGAGATCTGCCCTTTATGTGTTCACTATTTTCACAAGACGTTAACAATTCCGGACACCGCAATTAAAAGAACAAGAATTTCTGGAGCAAGTTACAGTAGTTTTGGATATATATTACCATAGAGTTCAGTTATCGCCGGGAAATCCAATAATAAAAAGGAAAAAACAGCCAAAAATATGATGCATTTTTAATTGTATACAACTATGAAATCTGAAGGGGTAATTTATGAAAATGTGTATGTGTTTACACTAAGTACTGGCTGCCCCCGAATGCCCTGGTGCTGCTTTCTCTTTTGAAATGCTCTCACATGATCACGTGCATACAGCCACTGCGAGGGAAGTCCTACTCACTGCCTTCTCGCGGCTGGGGTGTTAATGAAACTAAGAGGACAAAAGGCGAATGTTCAGCGCATTAACCGGGTTGGTGGCTATGGATAATCTACCTAGGGGAGTTGTAAAACCCTGATTCCAAACCACATTGGCTACAGGATCCTGAGGGACTGCATCTCCTGACGTCACTCCATTACCTTGTGGGTCAGGCTTTTAGGTTGGAGGCTCTGGGTGTAGCTCCCCCAAAACACCACCTGCTCCGACTTGGGCACACAGACAGTATCCCAGCCCTCACACAAATCGAGTGATTTATGTGGCGCATATTTGTTTGATGCTTCCGTGTACCAATGTGTTTAAATAAATGAAGTACTGGCTGCAACCGATGTATCTTGTCCCACAGAAACCCGTTTTTAAACCTAGAGGGAATAGTTCACGAACTGGTCAGCCGAAGTTTAGCTGGGGAAAGATTCTCGTAATTGTTCTAAACCAACAGTTCTTAGACAAATCTGTTGTTTAATCAAAATTTACCCAAAGCGCTTCCTAGTTGTAAAACACTTGACTCAAATTGGTTGCATATTTTCGATGGTCCATGTAGGCTAAATAATAAATTCGAGAATAGAAAGGGATAGTAGTACTGCCATGAATTAGACCATCACTGTCAGGTTGCTTTGTATACAGACTGATGAATCCTCATATTGATACGATGGCCAAGCCCTTTGAATTTCGCATTATCATAATTATCCGTTTTTTGTGGAGATTCTTTGTCTCTAAACAGAAAATCACAGTATACTTCGTGGCGAAAACTCCAAGTTTAATAAGTAGTGATAAAAGACACTGGTTTTAAACTTGTAATCCTCTCAAATACCTGGGGGGGGGCTGGTAAGTTCATAATACCTCCACTAATACTGAATCTTTTATATCCCAAAATTACAAATGTTGGTTAAGAAATCTGTCATAGTGTAATACTGTCCAGTGTGTTACGTTTGTCATTCTAGATGCTGCATCCTTACATATTTTGCTTTAATGTTTGAACTCCATAAATCAATTACACACTAATTTTCACAATATATATTTTAGGGTACTTATGCTGTCAGTCACAATCGCATATAAACTTCTTGTGAAGACTTGTAATGATTGACAGAAAATGTGTTAACTTTTGCTATAAATATCTCGATAAAGTTGTGCGTCTTTGCCAACAACCAAAGTTGAGCTTGAAAGCCAGTCCACCTTATATTTTGGATACGATTCCGGATATATATGAAAAGTTACAAAGAATAATTGCAAATTACGAAGAAAATTATGATGTACTCTCTGAAATAGAATACTTTCAAATATATATTTCGACCTTGATTGAGAAATCCAAGCAAACTATTAGTCTTTTCAAAAATTCCAAAGAGAAAATTTTCGATATCAACTCAGATGCACGGTTTCGTCTGATTAAGTTGTCGCTAGTATATTCACATCTGCTAAACGATTTGGAAGCCCTCTTCCCACATGATACTTTCGACTCTAAGGGTTTCCGTATAACAAAACCTGATGCAGCTCGATGGTGGTTGAGCAATTTTGGGGATAGTGTAGTTGTTTCTTGGCAATTATTCAAAGATTCGTTAATTCAAACATTCAGGATAGACTCTGATACTCAACTGCTGGCTCTCCAAACGACTATAGACATAACTTGTAATGACTATGTATCCATTTTTGAGTTCGATGTATTTACTAGATTGTTTCAACCGTGGAACAATATACTGGAAACCTGGAAAGCATTAGCCATCCTCCATCCCGGTTACATGGCGTTCATGACGTATGATCAAGTTAAAGGTGTTCTCAAACGCTACTGCTTTTACCCTGGTCCAGGAACATACATTTTTCGATTATCATGTACTAAACTGGGTCAGTGGGCTATCGGATATATTACACAGGAACTAAAAATCGTACAAACTATAATACAAAATAAATCCCTGGCACAAGCGTTGGTCGATGGAGAAAGAGAGGGATTCTATTTATATCCAAACGGGAAACCCAGTCCTAGCACATTGTTGTACTATTTAACAAATAATCTACTCCAAGTTCACTTACAAGTAACAAAGGAACAGTATCAGCTTTACTGTGAAATGGGTTCAACCTTCGAATTATGTAAGATTTGTGATGAAAATAATAAAGATACGCGACTCGAACCCTGTGGTCATTTGATTTGCAAGAATTGCTTACTTAATTGTCAATCCACAAGCAATGGCTTAACATGTCCGTTTTGCCGCCTGGTAATAAAAGGGACTGAAGATATTATCGTTGATCCTTACAAACCATCAAGCGACTCTGGTAAACTAAGTTTTCATCCCAGCGAGCCTGTCGTAATTTATGATCAAACAGCATCCCTTCATGAGATAGCTGACAAGCCTTCAGGATTGGCTTCGTGTTCTGTCGGTGCCTTGTGTAACAGAAAAAGTCTCACACCAGACCCTCTATCTGCGGGGCCACCACCTATACCGCCAAGGAACTTTTATCTGACATCTACCATAGATAATACCGTAAATTACAACAACGAACTTCAAGCTAGTTGTCACACTTCTTCGACAAACTACGGACTCGAGATTTCCACACGTCCTGATTCTCATGAAAACATCCGATTCGCAAATCCCGACTCATCTGTTAAAAATGATACACTCTTACGCTCGCTCAGTGAGCGTAATGAAGATAGATGCTTATGCTCTCAAGGGAGCAACTCTCTGTTTCCAGCACAAGTTATGCCCCGGATAGATACTGGGAGTTTAGATCATACAATGGATTTAAATTACGCTCAGTTAGATTTAAACAAGTCAGATTCTGATGATGAATTGGAGGTTGGTTTAGCCTTTGATGAAAAAGACGACATACGAGACCAGCAAGATGATATCAAGCCATCTGCGCAACAGAACATAAGTGCAAACCCAGATCTCATTTGTGAATCGTTATCGAATGATAAGAACCACACGGACTGCTCTTCAGATAATTTGTCTAACAAGAATACGATCCCCTCCGGTATGTCACATTGTGATCTCATCAAATGCCAAACAAGATCTGTGGATGAAAATGTGAGAGAATTAATTAGTTTGCACCCTGAAATGACTGAAGCAACAGCCACGCTATTACTCACTTTAACGGAAAACCGTCTACATATTTCATATGAAATATGGAAGCACTTTATGCCTCGTGTTTAGAAAGACGTGTAAGCACTTATTTTCAGTAATATAAATAATGCTATTTTGCTCAGAGATAATTTATTAGGCTTAATGTTACAATTATTTTATACTTTCTTATTTTTGATTTTACTTATGTTGGTAATAATTATTGTCCTGCAGAGTTCGACTAGATTTTAGGTAGGGTCACCAAATTTTCGTGCTTTCAAGTTAGTACTGATAACAATGACTACCTAAACTTTTTCTATATCGTATAATTTTTCCTAAAATCTCATTTTAACAACGAATGAATGTATGGTATTCTACTGATAGTGTAAAATATACTCGGCTTGACTTTCAAATTTGTCTTTTTATCCCAAAGAACATAGTGCAAATAAAATCCTTCCATGTGATTAAATCTGATTAGATATGAGGGCGTCATCGAGAATTATCCAGATTTTCCAATTATTTTAAGGGTCTACACTGATTAGAAAAGTAAATTAGTACTAACAACTAGCTGGAGACGTACGTCCAATAGTATTTCCTGTCAACTGCTTCCAAACACCTAACACATCAACATAACGCACGTGATATCGAATCATTTACACTAGTGGCCATACTGCGACTTGATCGGTAGAATTCCATCAACACGATAGGACTGAACAAATGTGACGATGACCACTATTCAGTGACCAATCGATTGTATGTTTGAAAATCTAACGTAATTGCTAATCCCGAATGCCTTGGTACGGCCGAGAGTGGGGAGAGTCCGCTCTCCCTCTCGAAATACTCTCACAAGGCCGCGCGTATACAGCCTCTGCCAGGGAAGTCCTACTCATTGCCTTCTCGTGGCGGGGGTGTTGTTTACGAAAATGAAGTGACGAAAAGCGCATGTCCGGCGCTCTAACCGGATCCCAAACCAATGGTGCACATGGGCTCCAGTATCCTGCGGGAACAAATGGCGTATGAACCAATCGTTGGTCACTGGCTACCATGGGACTGCATCTCCTCACGATGTCCCACTGCCTTGTGGATCAGACCTTTAGGTCAAAGGCTCAGGGAGTGGCCCCCTAAGAAAACCACCTGCTTCGGTCTGGGCACCCGGGCAGTATCACAGCCCACACACAAACGATGAACTATGTCTATGGAAATTACTTTTCTCGCTTCGAAAAACAATCAATTGATTCAAATTATTATCATTACAATTATTGTCATTATTAATACTATTATTGTCATTATTATTATTATTTTCCACATTATTCACCCTCTTTTATACTTATACAGCGGCTCGTCTTTGGTGGAAATTCGACTGTATCTAAACGTTCTCGAGTCACTGTCCGGTTGAAAATTGTATGTTACCACCGAATATGAGTACTGAAGCAGTTTTTCTGAAACCACGTGCGCCATTCAAACTGGCTGCCTTCAACGTTCGCACACTTATGCAGGTCGGACAACAGATAGGGCTGGCTATGTCTTTGGAAAGTCTTCATTATCGATGTCTGCTGTCTATCCGAGACCCGTATTCAAGACTCTGGTGAAGTACTACAAATTCGCTCTACATCTGTCACTTCAAAAAGCTTGTTTTACGTGCGCTTATCCGGGGACCCTGTGGCATCTTCGTCTGGTCTTGCTGGCGTTGGTGTCGCACCAAAGCGCTAGAGCTGAGGCAGCACTAGTCGATTAGATCCCCATTAACAGTCGGTTATGTCCTGTTAGATTAGAAAGTTCCATCAAAGTGAGAAGAAATCGGCGTGAGAAACGATGTCTTTTCGTCATCTCCGCCTATGCCCCGACAGATTGCAGCCCGGATGCAATCAAGGATGAGTTTTACCACCAGTTATCAGTTCTTCTCCAGAAAGTGCGTTCGACAGATATTGTAGTACTAGCCGGAGACTTGAGTGCTCAGGTCGGGCGTCTAGGCACAGAAGAGAGTCGTTTAGGTGGCCGATGGGGACTCGTTGGTCGCAGGTCAGATAACGGGGACCGTCTACTGCAACTTTGCACAGACCACAACCTGTTTCTGGCTAGCACTAACTTTCGGCGCAGTCATCGCCGATGTGCCACCTGGCGTCCTCCCTCTGCATCTCAAGCCTGGACTCAGATTGATCACATCGCGATCAGCTACCGCTGGCGTGGTTGTGTACAAGACTGCCGCTCCTTTTCGAGTACCTATCTGGACTCTGACCATGCCTTAGTCTGCGCCAATCTTGCCTTACTTTTCAGTGGACAACGAAGTGACCGCCATCAACGGATTGATATTAGCAAGCTGGTTGCAACTTCTGTTGCAAGTAAGTATCGAACCGAGCTAGCCTCTAGGCTAGCTACCACTCCACCGAAAAGTATAGATGAGCATTGGTTGCAATTGCATGACGCCATGAAAATGGTGGGTACAGTCAGTTGTGGGTTCGCGAAACGTCCCGCTTATAAGCACTGGGTTTCTGCAGGTTCCTTACAACTCATTAAAGCCCGTCGGTCTACTCCGGGTGACCGTGAGTTTGACCATAAACGAAGGATGTTACGTAAGGAAATTGGGCAAAGCTTGCGTAAGGACCGAGAAGCCTGGTGGTTGGAGCGTGCTAATGAGCTGGAAGCAGCAGCTGCATCTGGTAACTACCGGAAGCTCTTCCAACTCATCCGAGCCACTGGCAGCAAGAAGTCTGGTGTGAGTGGAACAATCTGCGAGGGCGATGGGATGCCAGTCACTAACATCCATCGACGTCTTGGACGAAGGGCAGTTCAACTGGCCTGCTGCTCCGGCAACATCGGTCAGACTGTCCTGCCCTCCATGGTCGGTGACGACTGATCCACCAAACGAGAAGGAAGTTCGCAAGGAACTCCAACTCTTGAAGCACTACAAATCACCTGGCCCAGATGACTTACCTCCGGCTCTTTTTAAAGATGGTGGTGAATTTCTGACTAAGGAACTGACGACGTTGTTTACAAAGGTCTGGGAGCTAGAGAGTGTACCAACGTCATGGAATGAGTCGATAGTTGTCCCTATCTTTAAAAAGGGTTCACGTCGTTCCTGTAACAACTATCGGGGGATAAGTCTACTTCCGATTGCGTCCAAGCTATTGGCTTCCGTCATACTTCGTAGGTTGTTCAAAACCCGAGAAAGATTGACTCGCGAGGAGCAGGCTGGGTTTCGTTCTGGTCGAGGATGCATTGATCATATCTTCACCCTCCGCCAAATGTTAGAACACCGCCATACTTATCAAAGGCCAACAATCGTAGTGTTTCTTGACATCAGGGCTGCCTTCGATTCGTTGGACAGGACTGTTCTCAGGGATTGTCTATTGAATAAGGGTGTGCCTGAGAAGTTTATTAACATCCTAAAAGCCCTATATACAAACACCTCAGGCAGAGTGAGGGCATACAACCACCTCTCTCCATTGTTCCATTCGAGCAATGGGGTTAGGCAGGGTTGCCCAATCTCACCATTCCTCTTCAACTTTGTCATCGATGACATTCTGGAAACAGCTCTGATGAATGTAAGTAATGGTGGTGTGGATCTGTTGCCTGGAGAAAGACTTCTCGACTATATTATCTTACAGTACGATAATGCCCAAGCCATGCAATCCGCACTTAATCAGTTGACAATCAGTGTCCGTAGGTATGGTATGTGCTTTGCACCTTCGAAGTGCAAAGTACTTCTACAAAACTGGCAGGATTTCAATCCTGTACTCACCCTAGATGGTGAGCAGATAGACGTAGTCGAGAAGTTCGTGTATCTGGGTAGCTGCATAAGTGCTAGTGGGGGTGTGAGTGATGAGATCAATGCACGAATAGTGAAAGCCAGAGCGGCTTATGCCAATCTGGGCCACCTTTGGCGCCTTCGTGATGTTAGTCTGGCTGTAAAAGGTCGGATCTACAACGCGTCGGTGAGAGCAGTTTTGCTCTATGCTTGTGAAACCTGGTCTCTCCGAGTTGAGGACGTTAGACGACTCTGTGTTCGATCATCGCTGTCTCCGAAGGATTGCTGACATTCAGTGGCAACACCATGTCAGTAATGCAGGTTCGGCATCGTGTGTTCGGGCACAGAGATGATAATTTAATTGGTGTCACCATCTTGAAACACCGACTTCGGTGGCTTGGATATGTTCTAAGAATGTCTTCCCAGAGAATTCCACGTCGTGCATTATTTGCCGACTCTGGGACTGGTTGGAAGAAGCGGAGAGGTGGTCAGTGCATGACATGGTGTCGTGGCATGAAAGAAAGCTGCAAAGGACTGGCTTCTGTCGGTCCTTCACGACTCCCTGGTTGGGGTCCGAGAGATGGTGCCACACAGTGGCTAGAGACGTTATCAGATATGGCTCAGAATAGAAGCCAGTGGCGATCCTGCTGTAACCTTCTTTTACTTCATAAAAAGTGGTTGTGTCTCCCTTACCTGAAAGATTTCTTCTGATTGTACCTCGTTACTACCACACTACCTTACACCAATCTCTTCGTTATTGTTCTCTTTTTTTGCGCTGCTTAGCTTTTTTTTCTATTTCTCTTCGAATTCTCATTGTTTTGTGTGGCGCATATATATTGGCGCTTTCTTGTACCAATATTCATGTGTTCAAATAAATAAATAAATAGAAACTAGGGTTTTCGAAATCAAGTAAACAAGTGGCACAAAAGATTCGTATTATGTATTACCATCTAATTATCTTTGTTTTTATAAGGATTAGTATGAACTGCTTTTTCGTACACTGGTAATGCAGTATTTTTCCAGTAGGTAAATCCTCTAATCAGGTTTTTGTTTCTTTCAGCTAAACATTCGCGAAAATGAATTAATTTTTCTGACCCAACAGATAAAAAACGGCTAGCTTCATAAGTATATTGGACTGTAGAATTACGGGGTGGTTTCAACAAGTCGCACATTTGATCAGCTAATTGTTCGCCAGTTTCGAAAAATAAGCCATATTTATTATCCTCCATCAATTCACTGAGTGTTGTATAACCTAGCGCCAGGACAGGGACGTTCACACCAAGTAAGTCAACTACCTAAACATATACAATAAAAAATACCCATACGAAATGTGTTCAAGGATGTTAGGTTAAAATAATTGGTGGTTAGTAATAAGTGGAAATCTACATGGGTATATATATTGAAAAGTTGAATCTTAATAATAAAGCTTTTTCATTCCATATTTGGTCATTCTAGGTTTTTGGAACTAGAATTAAAATAAAATAACTATACCTCTAGAGTGTACTTCTGTTCTTTATACTCACGTAAAACTTGTGTGAACACACGATTAGACTAGTTTATGGTATAGCTATCTGGTAAGCGTTCTTTAGGAAACTAAGAGCCTTTTCAACTTCAAAATAACAAAATGACGGTATTGTCCCGAAATGCAACCATACAGAGCTTCGTCTGTAAATACAGATATAGGTTTACTTATCTGTTTCTCCGTTTAAAAATTATTTTGGCAATAACCCCACTTCGTGGTTACATATTACGTAAGGTGACATTTTAAGATTACACATACTACTTCTTTGTAATATCTGAAAATACTTCAAACTCACTTTCATGGGTAAATCCAGTCCCGAGGAACTTCGATGTATGCTAAGTCCTAAGTCAGCACATCCAAGAAAAACGGGATAATCTGACCACTCAAGCCACAACATAATGACTTCCACATGTTTCCACTTTTGTTCTTTTATTAATTTTGCATAGTAGCTTTGTAATGGACCACGACCTAAAGCAAGGGAAGTAAAATAACATGACAATAGTTGTGTCACATTCAGATAGAAACTCTAAATCACCTCTGTGGTACTTTAGACTGAGTGACTTAAATAAAGCAATGTACTTGTAATATCCCAATGATTAGAAAAAAAATTTTCTGACATTTTGCGACTCAGTGTAAGCCACTTTTTCATAGGATAAATAACCAAATCAAAATTAATCCAAGTTTAAATAGTACAAAGAAACAACGCAAAAGGGGGGAAATTTTGTGCCACCAATAATCAATTTGTTGAATGCTCAGAGGTTCACAAATCTCTCCCAGTTCATGTCGTCTAATGATATCTTCATATCCGGTGTTGTCCATTCCCACTTTGGCGTTTAGATTCCACATTAGGATGGTGAGGGCCTTTCTTGGGCACTTCGCTATGATTGATTGCAGCCTCTAATAGACCTGATCTTTTTTGTCGTCGTTGTTATCATTGTTGGGTGCATAACGTTGGATAACATTGATTGCGATCCCCTCTTTCTTTGTTTTGAATGATGCTTTGGTGATCCTGGATCCGTGAGATTCTCATCCTACTTCGGATAGTATTAGAGAAACTCCGTGTGTGTGGAGCATTTTTCTCTTCTTGACCGAAGTACAGAAGCATCTCTCCCGTATCGAGCTTTTGCTGTCCAACTTGGGTCCAATAGGTTTCTTTGATTCCGAGTACAACCAAGCTGTATCTCAGCATTTCCTCTCGGTCTCTCACATTGTCTGAACGTTCCATGTACCTATAAAAATTGTTGCTCTGGTTGTTAGAAGGGGCATCGGCCTCGTGACTTCCAAAGAATCTCGACTTTCATCCTGAGGCGTCATAATTTTTCCTTCAATTCCCAGAGCAGAGTTTAAATGGTTTAATTTTTTTAATCTGGTTGGCATTTTTCTACCAAAATTTTTCCTACGGCATGGGGTTGCCAACCACATGACCAACCCTCATCCTTTACCCGGGCTTGGGGCCGGCAGTAAATAGGAGAGCTCTAGGCGGAGAATCAATTAGACGATTTGGACTTCGCAGATGATCTAGCCCTTCTATCCCATGCATGCGAACAAATGCAGATAAAGACAGCCAGTGTAGCAGCAGTCTCTGCATCAGTAGGCCTCAACATACACAAGGGGACAACCAAGGTCCTCAAATACAACACGGAGAACACCAACCCAATCACATTTGACGGCGAAACTCTGGAAGATGTAGAATCCTTCACATACCTGGGAAGCATCATCGATGAACAAGGAGGTTCAGATGCAGACGTAAAGGCGAGGATCGGCAAAGCAAGGGTCGCATTCCTACAATTGAAGAACATATGGAACTCAAAACAACTTTCAACCAATATCAAAGTGAGAATCTTCAATACGAACATCAAGGCAGTTCTACTGTGCGGAGCTGAAACTTGGAGAACTACAACAACCATCATCAAGAAGGTGCAAGTATTTATAAATAGCTGTCTACGCAGGATACTCAACATTCATTGGTCGGATGCCATCAGTAACAGCGTACTCTGGAAGAGGACAAACCAGCTGAAGAGGAAGTTAGGAAAAGAAGATGGAATTGGATAGGACATACATTACGGAAATAATCAAAATGCATCACGAAGCAAGCGCTAACATGGAATCCTGAAAGGAAACGGAGAAGAGGAAGACCGAAGAATTGGCAGCAGACCTGAGAGCGACGAGTAGCAACTAGAAAGAACTGGAAAGGACTGCTCAGGACAGGGTTGGATTGCGAGTGGCTTATCCTCCTCCACGAGGAGTAACAGGCGTAAATTGTAATTGTTACAACGCAAGAATATTATGTGCACGCAAATATATTATTTTATTTATAACAATCTACTCAATGCTCAATTTATTCGAAATTATCAAGTCAAACCTTGGTAACGATACCTATAAGTGACTTGAAGTTATCTGAGATCTTAAACAACACTCGAAGTAATCAAGAAGTGTTTTGAAATCTGTTGTACAGACTAAGTAAGATTACAGATCCTTTGGACATAAATATTTAGGAGCACCTTTCTGATAAGTGGGATGAAAGGAAACCTAAAATACTGCTATTATTTAGATAGATTTTTAGAGTTTGATGCGATACTTAAAGCCTTGTTTTTTCGTTGCAAATTTGGATAGGTTTAGGGGAGTAAAGGGAATATACCTTCTTGTCATTAACTACATACATGTAATGAAGATGGGATGCAGATAACACAACATTAGGTAGAATGCACCTAAGACGAGAGTGGAAGGGGCGAAGCCATTAGAAAATAAGAAAAGTTTATGTGTGAACGATTGATCTATGATGATACCATAACTAATTTGACAAATATGGATCTTATAGATAAAACCAGCCACACTACGAGAACAATAAGTCAGAACAGGTTAAAAATGTCTAAGACAACAAGACTGAACACAGTTTAACATAAAACTATACCTGTTACAGCAAACACAATACTGGGTAAACCTGAATCTGTTTTTTCAGCTGCCTTGTCGTAGATTCCCAGTGCTTTAATTGCCAACGTGAAGTCATCATCAGGTGTCCAGCTGCAACTACTAACAACCAATGCTGGGCGATCTGGGCGCCAATGGGGCTCATTGTTCTTGGTATTAGTCGGTAGAGCAGTTATCTCAGTAAAGCGTGTGAATCGACATGAATCTAGTTTGTTTCTAAACGCTGAGTATTGATCGCTGAGTCTAAAAATTTAATAAGCCCGAGTTGAGAAAATTGTCAAGAAACACTAGGGAAATATCGAGACTAACTTTCCGGAAATAATTAGCTAATATAGTCGGTGCTTTATTAGTACAATAATGACTTTTTCGACTTCACATTCGTAAATATACACTAACTCGCTTTTGTAACCACTAGTGATAAACAGCAAGTCAACAATACGAACAGGTAATAATTTCTTGTTATCAATCTTATGTGATGAAATCTGAGCCTTGGTTCGTGACGGAGTGAGGTTCACTCCTACGAAGTGGCTTTAATACAGTCAGTCAACTTCAACTTGGGACCGGACACATATATGCATCGGTCCAAGTTACCATACCTCATTAACACAACAAGATGGACACCGGATTCATAAAAGTAGTTAATTCGACGGTGGTTATGTATGAAAGAAAAATTGCGATAAGGATATAGTACAGGAAGAAAGAATTAGTTTGTAGAGAGATATGAAGACAGAGTGTATACACCAACGCTATTGTGATCGATTCTGAGCCATGTCACCAAGAGTCTCCAAACATTGGTCACGATAGTCACGCGAACCCCAACCAAGTAGTTTGCATCTACGAACATAGCTCAGGCCAGAAGTTAGTGACTTCAAGGACTGATGCCACGCTTTGGTTTGGCCGCCCCTAACTTTCTTCCAACCATCTCCAACACTGGTTAGCATTGCACGTCGTGGTAATCGGTGTTCAGACATACGTAACGTGGCCCAACCATCTCAGATGATGAAGATCCACAACCTCATTAGCTGATTCACCATCGTTCCCTAATGCCCTGCGTCTAACATCACTATTACTTACCCGGTGATCCTAGCAGATGCGAGCAATATTTCTGAGACATCTGTCATCAAATACTAGTAACTTACGAGTATCTTCTACTCTTAATGGCCAGGTTTCGCAGTCATAAAGTAGGACAGAACAAACTGCCACGCAGTATACTCGTCCTTTTATTGATAGACGGATATCTCGCATTCGCCATGGGTGACGTAAGTCGGCAAAAGCTGAACGAGCTTTATGAATCCACGCACAGATTTGGTCAGACACCAACCAATTAGAGCTGATCAGACTTCCAAGATAAGTGGAGTTGTCAACGCTTTCGACTACTTCACTCCCTATCCTTAGTTCAGGTGTTGACGCAGACCAGTCCTGAAGCAGCAGCTTGCATTTAGAGGGTGAGAAGCGCATTCCAAACATTCTGGCATTGTTGCTTAGTGCTACCAGAAGACTGCATTTTATCAGCATTTTCACCAAACAAGACTATGTCGTCTGCGTATTCTAAGTCAATAAGTGGACCTCCTGAAAAGAGATCAACACCCGAGAATTCAGTCGATGAGAACGTTATTTCTATCAGTAAGTCTATGATGAAGTTAAACAAAAATGGAGAAAGTGGACAGCCTTAACGGACACCACTTGAGGTTGCAAAAGCAGATAACAGTTCGCCATAGGCTCTCACTCGACTAGTAGTGTTCGAGTAAAGAGCCTTCATAAGGTTTATGCACTTCTGAGGTACGCCTTTCAATGACAGATACTACCACAGAATCTCGCGGTCTACCGGGTCAAATGCTGCTTTTAAGTCAAGAAAGACCACGATTGTCGGACGCCGATAAGTATGCTTGTGTTCTAAGATCTGACGAATGACGAATATGTGATTGATGCATCCATGATCAGGTATGAAGCCAGCCTGATCTTCTCGTGTTTGCAGTTCACAAGTCTTCGTAAGGCGTCCGATAATTGTTGAGGCTAGTATTTTAGATACTATATTAGTTAAACTAACCCCCCTATAGTTGTCACAGGATGACTTTGATCCCTTCTTATATATTGGGACAATAAGCGATTGCAACCAGTCAGATGGGATGTCTAACTCCCAGATCTTAGCTAAAATATTAGTCAACCTAATGGCTGAAATCGGACCACCACACTTAAAGACCTCTGGAGTCAATCCATCTGGACCAGCTGCCCTACCTCGTTTCAGATTAGCTATAGCCTTTTGAACTCCACCTAGAGTCGGGAGACCTACTTCAATGTTCCATTCAGGCTGTCTGGGAATGATGGGTAGTTGTAGAGTAGGTGAAGTCCAGCTGAACTGTACTCTGAAATGTTCCACCCATCGTTCTAAACGTCTGGACTGAGGGCAGATAAGAGTGTCGTCTTTTTCCGAAATAGTCTGACTTACACTTGACTTATTAATTCCAGTTTCTTTTATCAGTCTGTATAGCTGTCTTGTGTTACCTATAGCCACCGCCTTTTCCATCTCTTTGGCTTTCGTTGCCCACCACTGCTCACAGTCGTTCCTTAGTCTTTTGCTTAACCTAGATCTGATTTGTATACGCTCTTCATCGTGTTCGGAACCTGATGGGATGTGTTTACGAGAATCCATCAGTGCAATAGACCTAGAAGAAATCCATTGGTTCTTTGTAACCCTGTGATTTAAATCACTGATGGATGTCACTGCTGTTTCCACAGCTGTTTGTATAGCTTTCCAAACAACAGCTGGGTCAGCCTCGTTTTCAGAACTGCCTAAGTGTGACCTCAGTCGTTCCTTGAACCTACTTTTGGTTTTCTCGCTACTCGATTCAGTTCTAATGGGTCTTTTTACAGAGGCTTTTTGCGTCCAGTGAGGCGCAAGCAGATGCGTGTCCGTATTAGAGCATGGTCGGAGTCCAAGCAGGTACTCCAGAATGAGCGACAATCTTCTATTGATATTCAATCAGAGTTCAGAGGCCTACTTCAATGTCCCGACAGATTGCAGCCCGGATGCAATCAAGGATGAGTTTTACCACCAGTTATCAGTTCTTCTCCAGAAAGTGCGTTCGACAGATATTGTAGTACTAGCCGGAGACTTGAATGCTCAGGTCGGGCGTCTAGGCACAGAAGAGAGTCGTTTAGGTGGCCGATGGGGACTCGTTGGTCGCAGGTCAGATAACGGGGACCGTCTACTGCAACTTTGCACAGACCACAACCTGTTTCTGGCTAGCACTAACTTTCGGCGCAGTCATCGCCGATGTGCCACCTGGCGTCCTCCCTCTGCATCTCAAGCCTGGACTCAGATTGATCACATCGCGATCAGCTACCGCTGGCGTGGTTGTGTACAAGACTGCCGCTCCTTTTCGAGTACCTATCTGGACTCTGACCATGCCTTAGTCTGCGCCAATCTTGCCTTACTTTTCAGTGGACAACGAAGTGACCGCCATCAACGGATTGATATTAGCAAGCTGGTTGCAACTTCTGTTGCAAGTAAGTATCGAACCGAGCTAGCCTCTAGGCTAGCTACCACTCCACCGAAAAGTATAGATGAGCATTGGTTGCAATTGCATGACGCCATGAAAATGGCGGGAACAGTCAGTTGTGGGTTTGCGAAACGTCCCGCTTTTAAGCACTGGGTTTCTTCTGGTTCCTTACAACTCATTGAAGCCCGTCGGTCTACTCCGGGTAACCGTGAGTTTGACCATAAACGAAGGATTTTACGTAAGGAAATCGGGCAAAGCTTGCGTAAGGACCGAGAAGCCTGGTGGTCGATGCGTGCTAATGAGCTGGAAGCAGCAGCTGCATGCAATCCGCACTTAATCAGTTGGCAATCAATGTCCGTAGGTATGGTATGTGCTTTGCACCTTCGAAGTGCAAAGTACTTCTACAAGACTGGCAGGATTCTAATCCTGTACTCACCCTGGACGGTGTGCAGATAGACGTAGTTGAGAAGTTCGTGTATCTGGGTAGCTGCATAAGTGCTGGTGGGGGTGTGAGTGATGAGATCAATGCACGAATAGTGAAAGCCAGAGCGGCTTATGCCAATCTGGGCCACCTTTGGCGCCTTCGTGATGTTAGTCTGGCTGTAAAAGGCCGGATCTACAACGCGTCGGTGAGAGCAGTTTTGCTCTATGCTTGTGAAACCTGGCCTCTCCGAGTTGAGGACGTTAGACGACTCTCTGTGTTTGATCATCGCTGTCTCCGAAGGATTGCTGACATTCAGTGGCAACACCATGTCAGTAATGCAGAGGTTCGGCATCGTGTGTTCGGGCACAGAGATGATAACTCAATTGGTGTCACCATCTTGAAACACCGACTTCGGTGGCTTGGACATGTTCTCCGAATGTCGTCCCAGAGAATTCCACGTCGTGCATTATTTGCCGACTCTGGGACTGGTTGGAAGAAGCGGAGAGGTGGTCAGTGCATGACATGGTGTCGTGGCATGAAAGAAAGCTGCAAAGGACTGGCTTGTGTTGGTCCCTCACGACTCCCTGGTTGGGGTCCGAGAGATGGTGCTACACAGTGGCTAGAGACGTTATCAGATATGGCTCAGAATAGAAGCCAGTGGCGATCCTGCTGTAACCTTCTTTTACTTTCTTCATAAAAAGTGGTTGTATCTTCCTTAACTGAAAGATTTCTTCTGATTGTACCTCTTCGTCATTACTCTCTCTTTCTTTTGCGTTCCTTAGTTTTTTTTTCTTTCTACTTCTCTTCGAATTCCCATTGTTTTGTGTGGCGCATATATATTGGCGCACTCTTGTACCAATATTTATGTGTTCAAATAAATAAATAAATAAATAAATAGGTACAACGGAGCACCAGATATATATGCTTCACACAAAAGTTTCCACCATAGGCGAGCTGCTGTATAAGTTGAAAAATAAAGATACACAAAGTGGGAATAAAAGAGTATATCAGTGGCGTAGTATATAAGAAAAATAAAAATGTTATCAAGTGGATATGAGTTGTCTGGATTTTAATTGGAACAAGAACAGTATTTCTAGTATTGTAATTTCATTTTATTTGTGTGTGGGCTGTGATACTGCCCGGGTGCCCAGACCGAAGCAGGTGGTTTTCTTATGGGGCCACACCCTGAGCCTTTGACCTAAAGGTCTGACCCACAAGGCAGTTGAGCATCGTGAGGAGATGCAGTTCCATGGTAGCCGGTGACCAACAATTGGTTCATACGCCATTTGTTCCCTCAGGAAACTGGAGCCCATATGCACCAATGGTTTGCAATCAGGGTTTCTCAACTCCCCTAGGTGGACCCACCGTGTCCACCGGCCCGGTTAAAGCGCCGGACATTCGCTTTCCGTCCTCTCAATTTCGTAAACAACACCCCCGCTACGAGAAGGAAGTGGGTAGGACTTCCCTGGCAGAAGCTGTATACACGTGGCCGTGTGAGAACATTTCGAGAGGGAGGGCGGCCCCCCACTCTCGGCCGTACCAGGGCATTTGGGGGCTCCAGGGTGTTTGGACATGGTGGGTAGCTGTAGACCAATGGAACTGCCCCTTTAAGTGCTCCGCCCATCATCCTAGACGTCTGGACTGAGAGCGGATAAGTGTCGTCTTTGTCGGCGATTGTCTCACTTACACTTGACTTCTAAATTCCGGTCTCTTTCATTAGTCAGTAAAGCTATTTTGTGTTACCTGCAGCTGCTGCTTTTTCATCTCTTGCTTTCGTTGCCTATTACTGCTCACGATCGTTCCGTAGACTTCTCGTTAACCTAGATTTGATTTGTTTTCGCTCAGCATTGTGTTTAGAGCCTGACGGGATAAGTTTACGAGAGTCTATCAATGAAATAAGTGTGACAGGAATTCACTGGTTTTTCGCAATCCTTTGATTCAAATCACCAGTAGATATCACTGCTGTTTCCACAGTTGATTATCTATCTTTCCAAGCAACATCTGGGTCATCCTCGTTCTCAGAGCTGCCTGAGTGTGACCTCAGTTGTTCCTGCGATGTGCTTTTGGTTTCCTCGTCACTGAGTTCAACTCTAATGGGTCTACTCGAGGTTTCCAGTTAATATGAGAAGCGGGGTTTTTTAAATTAGCAACCATATAATTCCGAAATAAAATTAAGTTTCAGAGAGTTAAGTTTATATCTTGATAACTAGTGAATAATGTAGCATTATTTTTACATATAGGACAAAAATAAATTTACGAAATAACCTCAATAAAACATTTGCCGAAAAAATGTTATTGATTACAGATTAATACTTAAAAACTACTAATTAACCGGAAAATAGACTACTGAATGATCTTACTTCAAGAACAGACAGTGGGCAACATCTACAGGTGTAGGTTTGAATTCTTCTGCAGGACGATCATAATAAACAGTTGCTTCTATTGATTTCATCCTCATATCGTACTTTAAAGCTTTGGATACGCAAATGTTCGCAACACGATCGGACATTCTGGACATAAAGCGGCTTGCAAAGTCAACTTCCAATATGTAGTACAACCTACAAATATTAATATGGATATAAATGGAATAGGTTTGCTAACCGCGTGAATAAACTTCTAGGCGCATTTAGCTCCACAAGAGTATAACCATAGTTGTGCCAGTCAATAACTAAATTCTTCCCCGTAATCTTGATAAATAACCATAAAATCAAAAAAGTTGGTACTGCAGGAGGATTCTGAACCAAAATTAAACGGCTACGGCAGTGTCTAGTAAGATGACAGAAGAGTGCTACAGCCGTAAAAATAAACTAAAGTTAACATGGTTAAAGGAAAATTAAACATACCTTGAGGATAAAAACCATAAACGAAGGGAAATGAAGAGCTTTGAAATTCGGACACATAGGTATACCCAGGACTTTCAATTTAAAATTCAACGGGTTTATTATTTCAGTTTTGTATCCTGATATAGTTACATCCCAACCATCACGAGCCAAAAACTGAGCTTGGGACAATATTCTTGGTGATCGTGAGAGATCACCAAGCACAATAACGTGAGCTGTTCGATTAGTGGCCATCAATTAATTCCCAAAAACCTAAAATAAAATAGTTGAAACATATGTATGTATATAAATCTTTACAACTAAACTTCAAACACCAAGATTGCTTTTGAATGCAACTCATCTACTAATTCCGGAGTCGAAAGCACATCATACAAACTACTTTATTTTCATAAAATGGTAACTAGAGTAGCATACCTACTTTTTCCTGACTTAGGGTTTTGGCTTATCACTCGAACAAAATTTGTTAGCTGTAGAATTCCCTGAGTTTGGTTTTTCTAGATAGTGTCGTGTCACCATTCATCAAACTTTATAGAAATAGCTGCATTGTCATTTTTCAGCGATTCATGAAAGCAGTTGAAATAACAGACTACGAAAAAAACTTTCGATGAAAGCCATAAGTATATACATTGACCATTGTGGACAGAAACTGAGAAATGATAGGGGAATCACAATTCAAGGTGGGTTACATAAAACAACCACACAGGATAGTATTTTGATATCTTCATAGCTATAAAAGCATGGTTTGATACAGGGATCACAGTTAGTCAGCCAATTACTATAAATCGTAATTCGTCAGAAAAACGAGGACATTATTCATGTATAGGCAGTGAAATGTCATTGGGCCATAGCCAAATCATCTGGTAGTAAGGTCACTGAATATCGAGCAGTGCACCGGTCCTCGTTAAGGTCAACGACAACTAACACGCATCAGTTAATTGCACGCCATGAACTGGCCCATGTGATGGCGGTCGCACTCGATTCCTTGTACCTATCCTTACTAATATATTTTTGTAATGACGTGATTCGGGCCGCACGGTCATCAAGATAGCAACAGTACTTAGATACGACGAATGTTAATCCACGTTAGGCGCCAACCGTAATGTGTTACTTTAACGTTAGTTGGCCCCCGACCATTCGAAACACCATTTACGTTTGTGATCTACACTGGTGAGCAAGACTTCGAATAATGCGACCTATTATTATACTATTTATTACTGCATTCTACACTTATTCTTCTTCATTTCTATCGTCGCTTAAGTTCACCAGTTACCGTGAACATACGTTGATCTGCACTCCAAAGAGATTATTGACTGGATAGCTAGTTGTACAGCTAAAGAGATGAGACGGAGAGCGGTTAAACTCTACTTTATGGACGACCTTTGAACGAATTTTTAAGTGACCTTGAGAGCATTAGCCAATCAGAAAAGAGTTTGTATAAAGTAAAAATATATTATAAAAAAGTAATGAATTACAATGGATATTCTTCTTTTAAATGATTTAAGAACTTGTTGAGGTTTGATAGAGGTTCAGAAGTTTTGAGATCATAGTGCATGCTGTATAAGAACTCGTCCATATGACTCCATAATAATCGTCCTCTGGAGCCGTGGTAGGGTCTTTAAAAATACTTCAGCCTAGACCACACGCCCTCAATGTTGTTTGTATGGACCCCCGTCGTTGGATCAACAAAATGACGTTTGTGCACCACAATAAGATGCACAAATTCAAGTCTGGAGAGGTATCTATACACTTTCCAATCATCGGTATAGCCGCAGCTAATGTTACTTGAGACTTTATGATCCAATTTGCAACGATTATCATGGTTTGTCTTAGCCTTAGCCGTGACCGGGCAAAAAAGTGCCAGTTCGAGCAGATTTTTTTCTCCAACATATAGTAAAACGACATACAATGTCATCGTGGCAGTCTGCACATCGTGCTACGGTCATTTAATTGCCGCAGTCACAGACACAGGAACTTCTTGACAATGCCATCTGCTGTAGTCTCTCAACGATCACCCATTCTCTAAAATCTGCCGTAAAACGATCGAACGTCAGCATCTTGCACTGAACTTACCGCCGTGACCTTGAAATTCCTTACACGCTTCTGATTGGCTCGTCCATAAATTAGAGTCCTACCGGGAGAGCATGTCTATCATAAGGCAAATTGCTCTATCCTGGAAAATTTACTAACATGTCGATGGAGATAAATTGGCTACGGCAGATTACATACGGTCAGTACCAGACAGAAAAGATATCGAAAATATGCGACTATGACTTGAAAGAGTTATGTAACAATTTCTTTCTCGCTGCAGTTGTACAACGAATATGACTATGAGCAGTTCTATAAGCGATTTTGTCTCTTTACTAAACGGATAAACAGAACATCGAAAACTTGTTGCTGTTTTGTAATGTGGAATCACTCTGATGTGACGTTTTAGTTTGCACAAGATGTATCATTTGCTTTGAAGTTATCTTCCCGGTCAAATTAGCGTGGATGCTTTCTTCTAGGTTAAATCCATATGAAAGATTTGTCTTTACAATGTTTGAGTAGGGATCTGGCGGAACAGCAGTGATCATATTCTCATGGCAAAATTATGAGACCTAATCAATCTGATCACATTTTTTTATTTAACCTTAAAAGGCTCATAAGGGCCGTCAAATCAGTAAGTACATGAACTCACTTTTAGTGGTGAAGATCGACGATAATTTACATCAAAAAGTGAGATTAAAAGAACTTGATAGTTCGAACTGAAAGGTAGCAGGATTGTATTCAGAATGTGTTAGGACTACATAAAAAACCTAACACGTTGCGCAACCATTAACTCAGCTGCGTCTTATATGTTTAAACTTTTTCGGTTGAAACCGAGGACTAAATGTTATTTACGGTGTGTGCTTGGATTATAGACATTTAGGGGACATGATATACGAAAAGGGTAGATTCGCTCGTGGCAGTACAGATATTCAAAATAGACTAAGTCACATTTCCTAAGGTTGCGTAAAAATACAGACAACTGCTAAAACTTGAAGAAATACCGCCAAACAGCTTGACAGCTATGAACTTATCTCAATTTTTTCTTGCTACCTTGTGAAGTTATTCTGACTGAGGATTGATTGGATCAAGTCTCTCATCGCTTAAATCACGTGAAATTTTAAACCAAAATAATATACACCAGTGTACATTGTGGTCTGCAAAGCTAAGTAAAGCCCAAAAATATTCAGAGTGGCTAACTTACCTAAACCTGGTACCCTTTGTGGAGGAGCATAGCCTACCCACCAATATTCTCCATACAACTCTGTTCTGAGTAATCCTCTTCAGTTGCTTCCATTCGCTATTCCTCCTCACAATTTCTGCCTCCAATTCTTAGCTCAGTGTGTTCTTTGGACTTCCTCTTTTCGTTTCACTTCAGGGTTCCATGTTAATGCTTGCTTCATGGTGCAGTTTGATTATTTTCTAAATGCGTGTCTTATCCACGTCTAACGTTTTATTCTGATTTCCTCTTCAGCTGAAAGCTTGTTCGTTCTTTGCAACAGTAGGCTGCTGCTGATGTTAACCGACCAACGGGCATTGAGTGTATTGCGTAGATAATTGTTTGTACATACTTGTACTTGTCTGATGATAGCTGTAGTAGTTCTCCAAGCTCCAACTCCATGCAGCAGCTCGTATTGAAGATTCTGACTTCATTGTTTTGAGTTCCATATGTTCTCTAGCCGTGGGAATGAAGACCTTTCTTTATCAATATTTACATTTACGTCTGCGTCGGGTACTTCATGTTCATTGATGACTCTGTCCAGGTACGTAAACGTTTCCCTCTGTCCTAGAGCTTTACTATCATGTGTGTTTGGGTTAGTGTTCGCCATGTTGTATTTGAGGATCTTGCCTTTTCCTTTATGTGTGCCGAGGCTTACTGATGCAGAGGCCTCCGCCATACTGGTTGTCCCGGCCTGCATTTGCTCGTGTGTATGGGCTAGAGGTTTTGAGCCGTCTGAGAAATTCAAGTCGTCTGCTTGCATCCCGGCTGTCCATTAAATTCATTGCTCCCCCAGATGTCGAGGTCTTCATAATCCAGTCGACCACCGGAAGGAAGAGGATGGGTGAGAGTAAGCTGCCTTGTCTGACTCTGGTTCCCACTTGGAATGCGTCTACCCGCACCACCTTGCAGTGTAGTCCGTTATATGAATTCCGTATGATGTTGACGATTTTCTCAGGTATACCGTAGTGTCAAAGAAGGCTCTATAAGGTTCTCTCATTCACAGTGTCAAACGCTTTCTCATAGTCAGGGAAGTTGGTGTATAGTGATGAGTACCATCCAGCTGATTACCCAACGATGATCTGTAGTATCACGTTTTGGTCTATGCATGACTGATCCTTATGGAATCGGCGACGATGCCACGTTGAAAACACCGGTTATCATCTGCCATGAACGACCTAATCCGATTGCACTTGCTTTATTGAAGTATAAATTCTAACACTGTGACTAAGTTTGCTAGATGACAGTAAGACGATTACAGTTCTAGATTTGGGTGCAGTTTATAGGATTCACTAGTTGTTAAAAGAACTCTCGCAACATAAAGTAGCTTTGTCAGTTATAAACTTTATTAAATCTTCCATCTAGATATGAGTTGTAGTGAGATAGTTTCAGAACATCGTGCAAAACTTACTTCATATTCTGAGATAAGAAGAGAGTTGTGGAGTGTGGATTTAAAGGGTTTACGGATATTAAGTGCTTGACAACATTGTTAGTAATATCTTTATAGTCGAGAACATCAAAATCAGTCAAAAAAGAAGTCTTGAATGAAGTGTACGAAGATGTACTTGGAAGATAGTCGATGTTAAACATAGTATATGATATATGCACGGCGAGGAGATCTGAAGAGGATATTTGATAGATAGATTTGGTTATCCAACAAGTCTAATGAGTTCAGCACAAATGCCAAAGACCTACAGAACTGTCTTTTTCAGGGATTTATTAGCTGCTACACTCTAGTTACTTGTTCACTTCGTATTCTTACGTTTGGTTGTAGGTTGGTCGCTGTGCATCAGTTTTATTAGGTGAATTCTCTGATGAAAAGTACCATAATTAGTGGTTAGTAATTCATCAATATCATTCCATATGTATTTGTACTACTGGTTTTTTGACGTTTGAAGCTCACTTGACGACAACAAGAAAGCGCTCATAATTCTTAGGCTTACGTAAAGTAAACATCTGTTTACCATGGATCTGAGGGGTAAATGTAAGCGTACCACTCCCGTCGTCATGGGCATCGACAAATGTATTTAAATCAGGTTGTAGTTTTATTGTAAATCAATACTAAAATTAAATCAGCACCCAAACCAAGACACGAAATGAAACTGTAGCGGTAAATAAATCCCCAAAACAAATAGCTCTGTAAGTTTTCGACATTGGATGCTGACCAGATTAGTTTTAGTGGACTTGTAGTGTAGGATCCAAACTACCGTTTGGATGTTGAAGAATAGCCGACCGGGGATTTTAGACACGCGCCCTTTCCCGTCGAAATCAGAACAAGTAATCGGGTAACTAGCGGTTCTATAATTCATAATAAATTTGATGTAAAGCATTACCTAAACAAATATTATCACCCGGCTATTCAACCAATGATTGTTCAGTCAATTAAATCTAAATTACAATAATAAAGAAGTTGATAGAATATGAGGAAAAATTACCAATCACAACAAATCAACGTTATTCTATCCTGGCTGGATAGATCACACACAACAGGAGGAACAAATCAATATGGCTATCGCCAAGAACAAGTGTCAAGTAAAACAACACAGATGCAGTTCAGGAAGAAACACAAACTTAGTGAAGGCGTAAGAAAAACAAAAACTATAATAAAAAATACAAGTATTAACAACTCAAATGTAATCAAAATACAACAATGTACAACAAAGGGAATCAATAGGAACAAAGTACAAGTATATACATGGAGGGATTTTCACCAACACATAAAACCTTCAAAATGGATCTTACATGTAGTGGCATCGGACAATAGCCACACAATCCACAAAGCTGTGAACACGAGACTACTCAGAAAATTGATATTCAATATTTAACGCGGAGAAATACCTAACAATGGAGAAGGCGCGAACAATGAATTGAATGGACTGGGTTTGATCGGATGGCATGGCTCGTCCATGCAGGCGTGGTCTCTGCTGAATGTTACCTTATATCTTCTATTCATATTAAATATATTGTTCTTTCTCCAGCCTAACCTTGTTCTACATAATGTATTGGTAATTGATACGATACAGTGAGTTGGTGTAGTCGATGGTGTGACTTCCACGTAAGATCTTATAGATTAGGCAGTTATATCATGACAAATCTACAAATTTAGGATTAGGTCTATTATTAGAGCAGTACTAATATCATAGTAGACCATAATTCTACAGACTCACCTAGCTGAAGGCGCTCGGTCATGCATCCGTACCAGATCACGTGTGGGAACGCCGTGCTCAACATCTACCGCAATCGCTAGCCAGACTAGATCAGAAAATTCCGATATATTGGCAATCGTCGAATACAACTTCTGATCTCCTCGACTCTGTCTTTTGATTTCTCTTGATGAGTACGAGTTATAATAGAAGGTGTTGCTGGTAAAAGCGTTGCCAAACACTGAATACCTGTGCCATCTTCATTGGTGAGACCGACGTGATCTGGTACAGCAAATCGTAAACTGTGAGTCTGTCCCATTTTGGAAGGTAACGTATGTTCTTCCCAAACACAAATCCGGACCGAGAAACCTGGTCAAAAACTACAGACCTATAAATATCACTCCAGTCATATCACGCATAATGGAAAAAGTGATACAAAATCAACTGTCTGTTCACCTACCCAAGGAAGATCTAATAGACCCGTCACAACACGGCTTCATTAGAACAAGGTCGTGCAGTACATGCCTGATAGACTTCTTTAACGAGGTTACTCGTATACGTGACCAGAATAAACTAGTTATTATACTATACTTCGATATTAAGAAAGCCTTTGATAAAGTACCTCATAATCTTCTAATCAACAGACTGAAGTCAGTTGGAATTATAAATCCCCTTTTGCAATGGATCAAGTCTTT